GGGCCGCCCCTGCGCGGGTCCGAGAGGGGATCTCCTCCATCCCGGGGATCCCCGCACCCTCCGGGGTGTCCTCAGGAGTGTCCTCAGGAGTCCCCTCAGGCCAGGGGACACCCCTGGGTGCAGGAGGAGCAGCAGGAGGGGATGCGCCGCTTCCCTCCTCCCCTGGTGAGCGGCTTCTCGGAGGGGAATCCCCCTAAAATAGGTTTAGGATGGGATGAAAATCCGCTCGAACGGCAAAGGGTTTCCATYCCCGTGTTCCCGAGGGGTCTCCGATCTCGGGTGATGTTTGAGTTTGGCAGCGCCCAGGTTTTGTGCKGGAGTGCAAACGGGGATTTTCCAGCGAGGTTGGCTTTTCCCACAGCTTCCTCTGGCAGCGGAGCCAGCTGAGGTGGGGCCAGGGAGAGCCGGGATTTGTCCCAGCGGGAGCGGCATTCCCAGCACCGACACCCGCRGGTTCGGGGGGCTCTGAGTGCCGGCCAGGAGCGTGTCCGTGCGGCTCCTCCCGCATTGTCCCGCTCTCCGCCGTGTCCCCGAGCACAGCGGGACACCCAAACGCCTCCCTGAGAAATCCCATGTCCTTTCATCCCACCTGTATTCCCAAAAAACAGCAAACCCCGCCTCAGCGCTCGCTATCCCCTGAGCAGCACCCCAGGCCATGGATGAATTCTTAATTAAAAACATTCCACTTCTGCAGCTGCTTGGGAAAAGCCTGGGCAGTGAGTTTGGGTTTCCCTRGTTTTCTTGATGCCAGGCAGGGAAAGGGAAAAGCAGAAAACCTGTAAGGAATAAACTGGGCTGGTGGCTCTTCCCCGCGGAAGCCCAGCCCYGTGAGCTGAGCGAGCAAAGGGAGCAATCGGACAAAGCCTCTTCCTGCTCTCGGTCAAAGCAGGAATCCCAGAGGATTTGCTTTTGTCTGGTCTGATTCCAGTTCTGGGTACCAAGCAGAGGCTCTGCCTTCATTCACAATCATTCAGAATTCACATCAGCGGCGATATTTGGGGTGAAAAGGTGCGTTTTCCACCATGACGGCTCAGAACCCTGGCGGCAGCAAGGGATCCCCATTTCCTGATTCGGACCCAGCTCCCGTGCCTAACTTGGCCCTGAAGGCACCGGGAATTAGGCAGCCGATTGGAAGATTTGATCTTTTCCCCACCCCTCCTTTATTTAAATTCCCAATCCCCGCGTTTCCTGGCCGCGGTGGATGCGGGAATCCCTCTCCTTCCTCCCTTCGCTTCCAGAGAAGATGCCGCTGTCGGGGAACTCCCGGCTCTGGAATTATTCATGGCACCGCATCGTGCGTGAATAAAKCGCTTTGTAGGAAGCTTTCCCGAGCCCCGGGAGAGCTCCCAGCCGATCCTGCCGCAGGAACGCCGCTCCCGCTCTGCCATCGCCAGGGTGACGCGATCCGCCTCGGGCAGAGGTGACCGTGTCCCCTGAGTTTTGCGGGCAGGAGGGATGCCGGGTATTAAAAAGGAGTTTTCCAGAGGAAAATCCCTCCCCTCGGGCGTGAGTGGATATGTGTGGGACAAACGAGCGGCTGTGGGGTGAGGGAAGCCCGCACAAAGTCCCCATCATCTCACAGCCGGGCACAGCTGGACCCTGGTGACAGCGGCAGCCGAGAAAAGGAGCGGTGCTGGAGCTGAGCAGCAGCGAGAAGGAACCGCCCCGAACCCAGGGACTGCTGGAGCCCGGCCCGCCGGGACTCGCCCGCTTTTGTCTGCCCGGGGCCGCTGGATACGCGGGCGGAGCACAACGGAGCCCTTGGAGCGGTGGCCCTGACAATGCCAGGACGCTTTGGGAAGCGCTTCCACATGGATGAGAAGCGGGATTTGGGCAGATCTGTGAAAAAACGGAAGGC